AGAGAGAGAGACAATAAAAAAAGAAAGAAAATGTCCAAACTTCATCAACTTATTGTGTAATCCAAATGCAGTACATTTCCAAAAAATGTTATGTTTTATTTGAAGACTTACTGCATATAGAGTAAAATTTGTCCTTATGTACTTTTTGGCTTGGAGAAACACAAGGTATCATCACTGTCAGCACAGACAGACAGTGCCAGAGGAAAATTAATGGGATAGAAGTGAAAGTGAAAGCAACAGAAACAACTTCCAGATAAAAGAAGGAAGCACAGGTATTCCCACTCTTTTATCTACAAGCGTTTGTCATACACACAGACTCCAAAGGCAAAAGAAACTATAAGACAAACAAAAGTAAAAGTGTTCTGCTCTTAGAGGCTGACCAGTGAAGGTGAGGGGGAGCTCGCTTTAAACACAGCTTTCCCTGGCATGATCTAGTCCAAACCTTACACAGATGATGCTTGCAATCACTTTCTTTAATTAAGGCCAAACTTGGTGCAGTACATAGTCTCGAGTGCCGATTTGGCTGGTGGATTTGAATGAGAAAATGAAGGATGCTGCATGCTGTAAAGCACATCCTGTTTTATCATCTTCATCAGGACTATAAAAGGTATAAAAGCCAGGGTGTTGATTTCGCTCAGTGGGTGAGCAGGTGACCACATGCCATATGGCCAGTGCAGCAGTCTAAGTTTGTCCAATCCATGGCCCTTAGCTGGGTGTCTTCTGCATCTTTTTCTCCCCATTTTCACTGTTCCACAATGTAATAAAGGCAAAAAAAAAAAAGCCACAAAATTGTCCTGGATGTCTTGATGGACGTAACTAACTCAATATGACCCTCTGATTTGTGACTCCTATTTTTAAGCCTCATTTCTGCTGTTGCCGTTTGGTAAGCAAACCCCCCACCCGTCCCCCCCAAAAACACAAAAAGTAATGAGGCAGGGCAGGTCTCACTGTGAAGCTGCTACTCATTGGTTAATGACATTTGACTGACAAGCCATTAGCCAATGAGTGTGCTGCTTCATATCACGCAAAATCTTCCATTTCAAAACATAATATAACAAGACTCTTAAAACAGACATACATTTTTAATTCAGTATGACCTGAAATGGTAATTGAGCCTATAAACTCAGCAGGAAAGGGCTTACAGGGGTCAAGACCGAAAGCTTTTTTCAACCACAGCTATCGCCATCTGGTGGCCTTCAGATAGAATGCAGGTTTAAGGAACTTCTGGAATGGCTTTATATTTATTGACACAGATGCTCCGTCCAGCTTTGACATACAGTTTATGGTTCTTACAAGCACACTTTTGGATGATCCGATTGAGCGTCTACTCTCACCTGCTAAACTGCTTGGCCATTGCTACTTGCAACTTTATATGTTGTTGTTTTGGAGGAGAGATTTAGTGGAGAGTGAGACGATCCAGCTTTATTTCATATTCTAAGCAACTGTAGGTGATAATAGTGACATTCAAATGGAGAGTAAAAATCAGTGTCCTAGAGGAGAGCTAAACTTGTTTATAGATACAGTAGTTTAAGTAATACTTGAACAAAATGTAAAATCTTGCAAAGCAAGATGTTTATTTCATACCTGACCTAACTTTTTAAAAGCTTTTCCACAGTTTTAGTTTAACTGGAAAAGCAGAGCACCGCAACACTGACTGACTATACCAACAAGAGGAGTGTTTTGGGTTTTTTTTGTTGATCCTTGCTCAGACCTCTCATGAACCTCAGCAGCCGTGAGGAAGGAGAGACATCCATAACAGCTGTGCATGAAGACAAAGCACAGGCTTAACAGGCTGAAGGCAGGACAGATTACCCTGGCCTAGACACTCATTTATCCAAAGAAAAGACAGAATTGATCTGGAGATATAAAACGAAAGCCTTTCAGCAAAGTGGCATTTGAAAGAAAAGTCTTTTCTGTTTTAAGTAATGAGTCATCACTTATCCACAAATTCTATGCAAATTGGAAAGCAGGTCAGAACTGGGCACAAATGTATGCCATTTTCAGATGTGAATTGATACTACTGACTACTTAAACATTACTAAGAATGGTTCACAATCACTTTTGAACCCTCTGTCAGGCTACAGAAACAGAATGGTGAGCAATACCAAAAAAATAAAAAAGCCACATTCCTCTAGTTTTCCTGTTTGAGCATAGGTATTAAAAGGACTGGGTCTAACACAGGTCCAAGGGAATTATCTATGCCAATTCATTAACACATTCTAGTTTTCTAATTCAGCACTTAAGAAACATGCTCCCTGCCTTGTAGAGAAATAGTACACTTAATGGATTTATCTTAATGCCTGTCCATATTCTGAAATGCTGACTTTGTGGGACCTTTATTATACCCACAAAAAATGGTTAACTATTTAAGTGACATTAAAAAAAACATGTTAGTGTGTGTTGTTTTTATATACAAATGTTACCTAAATTTATTGTGCCCACTCAAAATGTGCTAATTACACTCTTAATTCTCATGCTAATCACATCTGTTGTTTCAATCCATCAGTATTCACCTTTGAGATCACCTTTGAGTACCCTGTCTTCCGCCTTTTGCTCTGTGTCAGCTGGGATTGGCTACAGCCCCAAGCTGGGTAAGCAGTTAAGTAAATGGATGGATGGATGAATCAGTTTTGGAACACATACCTAAGATCTGACTGTTCATCCGGTAAAGGTGTCCTAGATTGAGATGCCTCGTCGCGTTTTTACTTCACTTCTGTTCAACTTTCCAACTTCAAACCTTGTTGGAGTGGACATGCTTTGACTGAAGGAAAAGCATGAATAATAGATTCTTCACCCAAAGGGGAATGGAAGTCAGATGAGAGAAGTATGAAGCAGCTGATTAAAAACTGATATTCTTCATATCAATGATTTTAAAAGTTCATAAAGGAAAACTTTAGGGGGTGAGGGTATTTAAAGGATCGAATAGGTGACACTGCCATAAAGAACATATTTTTGCAGAGTAGTTTGAGGTAATTCAGGAATAATGGAGCCTTCCTGGAGCCTACCTTTAAAACGCTTAGATTGGATATTCAATAGTCTATTCATCATATTTTATGTTAGCACTTAAGCACTTACACGTAATGTATTTATTATTCATATTCAGCCAGTCACACTGAAATGTGTGCTGCAGTGTGTAGTATCTCTTTTGTGTCTATTTTTCTGTCTTATTTCTATTTTGATAAAAGTTGGGCAGTTAGGAGTTACCACTTAGTGATGGGATTTCCGGCTCTTTTTAGAGAACTGGCTCTTTCGGTTCGGCTCACTAAAAAGAGCCGG